TCAAGGAAATGTGACGCTAGTATACATGAAGCTCCGATGGGATTTAAGAAATTTGTGAAAATGGCAGCTACCTTTCGGTGGTGTCCAATGGTAGGGTGGATAGGAGGCTTGTAATAACAGATATTCAAATTGATTATTTGCGTTTCGGTATATCAACATGCCAGCGGCACGTACAACCGCTGCACACATTTTTGGCTGTAGCTTGTTGATTAAGGCTGAAAATTTTTCAGGCGTAACAATTGCAGAAATTAAGTAAAACAGTCGTAGACTCGTTACTATTTCCATTTTTTTAAACAGGATCATATCGATATTCTCACCTAACGTGTTCGCAAAAGGTGGCAGTATAATAAGCCTGAGTGAACTCTGAATGATGAATCTTAACTTAGCAATTCAGCAGGTTTCCTAGAAAACACGTAGTGAATCTCAGTCCCACCGTAGTTCTCGACATAACGTCCGTGATAAGTCTCAGCTTAAGCTAAATCCCACTGTCCTCTTTCATGAACCTTTACGACAAAATTGCGGAACTAAACTCAGATGCATTAAAAATGCAATCTCAAATGGCAGGAAATGATTCCACGGAGCTTTCGTAAAATTGGATGAAAAGATTTCTTCCTCCAAAAAAACCTATATTTACAAATTAGCTCTGGTAACAATGATATATCTAAATACGATTGAAAGGTAGAGTTGCTTAAAAGAGTATAGCGTAAGCTGCCAAACGTTCAATTCCAAAAAACCCTATGGCTATTCGAGAGATGACATGTACAACTTTCAACAATGTGCCAGTGACTTTTGAAACGGATTATTTTTGAACTGATTTCTCCATAATCAACTAGGAAACAATTCGTTCAACAAACCATACAGGTGATATAACACTGAAATGTGGAAGTAAAGGAAAAAAAGCAGTACAAAACAAGTACAACTCAGAGATAATATGAACAATTCAACTTTTTGCAACAATATCATAATCATATGGATGAATAACTGCAAGGAATTAATGTTCAGTTTGCTTGACTTATATCCGGTGATGAAGTTGAATCATCAGATTGAGGAAACTCCAAAAACTCGACCTAGCACGCAATGAAAAAACACCTTCAACTCGAATGATGATTTGAAAAAAATTGATAGCCTCTCCCATCCCATCTGCTTGAATTTCGCATAAGCACACAAAACGAGCTTATTTCCAATTTTTGCCAATTCAAGAGAACTTCTTCTTATGGCTAGTCAAAGCAGTCCAGAGTTTTGTGACGTTTCATTCAATTTTCAGGTAACTTCAAGTCACCGCGGAAGATGAACTACTAATGCTTAATTAATTAGCAAATCATTTTGCTTCGGGGTCCTCTCGGAATTGAACGATCCAATTCCGTTGATCGACTCAAGACTGATCGTTTATGAGAGTGGCGATATTTCAAAAATGTCGCCTGATAATGGCCTTTTTTGCATTATTTTGGCCTCCTTATTCCGAAAAGCTCACGAATGTATAATAGCATAACACAATGATTAAAGATAGCTTCCGAATCATAATCCCTTTCAACTCTTACCCTTCTCCAGCATACAATAAGTATATTTTCCATGAAATAATCAAAAATTCAACTTTTGTCAGAATCGCTTCAATCGCCCGCTCGGCAACCACATCCATATCCAATACCGTATATCTATCAGATAAACTTTAACAGTAAAGTTGGTACATTATTCTGTGATAAATTACTCGATCCTGCATGGAACAATATATTTTAAGTGGTCATTTATTCGGCAATCAACCATACGTTGGCAATTAATGTAGTCAGTAAGGCGGGCTACATACATCAGAATTTCGTGAGCTGTCTCAAATAGTCTCAACTGTCATGAATACCACTTCAGAGAATAAATTGAAATCAGGTAAATGAAGAAGTTATAAATGAGGTTTCGCACTAAAGAGAACTAGCCTAGCTGTCTATAGGATTGAAGAGAACTCGCACAGCTCTCTTCAATGCAAAGAAAACTTGCATAGTTTTTTTTAGCATTGAAGAGAGCTTGCGCAGCTGTCTTCAATGCAAAAGACAGCCTGCTTGTTCCCTTTAGCGTTGAAGAGAACTCGCACAACTCTCTTCGGTGAGGAGGACTATTTTTGTGTTCGTGTGGCATTATTTCGATTGCTTATTAAAATTGAGGAGAAATGGAATTTTCTTTACTCTTCACGTTTTTAGCTATTGATTTTTCCTATTTTTTGTTATATATCCTTCACTTTTTCGATGTTTCTTGCGCGTTCTCGTTCCTCTGATGCCTTTATAATTGTTTTGGGCATCTTGAAGTATATAACGTGATTATATTTTCCTACAGTTTCCTGTGTTCTGTTTCGACTCATTCAAATCATGTCATGTCATTTTTTAATAGTGGTAATGAAACCTATTAAAATTATGATGATCGATTCGAATGATTCTAGAAATGCTATTGCGAATTTTTGCTATTGAATTCAGTTTTGCTATTGAATTCAGCTTGCGCGAATTCCATAATTTTATGTTGTTTTATGAAAAATCTGTCGATATCGCAGCTAAATTGGGAAATTCAGCATCACCGCATATCAAGTCTCAACAGCTGTCTCAACAGCTATTATGTTTAAAACTGCACTGAAGTTTGATCGGCGCTGTTATCGCTGGAGTGACTGCTGTTGTGGAACAAAACAGTATTTTCTGAGTTGCGTTCATCCGAGCCTAGGACTGGCTTGATTTATGTGTCTACATTCACAGTTTTACATTCGAAATATACCGAAACGTTTTATCAGCGATTTATCACCATAGACATTCACGTAGGCTTGTACCATTGCTGAGCCGGATCGAGAAGGTGTCGTGGTGGGAACGACATTGTTGTCAGACCAACGAGGTCGACGTCATTTATTGGAATACCTCGGTTGAGCTCATACATTCTACAGCCAATGCTAGCTTCTCTAGGGCTTATCGATCGTGGATCTTCGCATTTTTCTTATCATGGCCAAGCGATCCATCGCTTTTATTGAGTCTTTTCAACAGCGTGCTTAAGGAACCTTCCTTGCATCATCAGCCATAAGAATTGACTAGTTACTATAGGCAACCACCACAAAAAAGCAACCAGACGTATCGTCCAAATACGCTTGCCCTTTTCCGCACTTAATGTTTCATTAGGATAGCTATCCATCTTCTACGAGACAAATTTCGAGACAACATTTCTGTTGATCGCGTACTGATGATTAATTGTGAAAACAATCGCAATAAGTTGATAAATGAAATTGATTACGAAATTATGTCTTTAAAAAATACTTATGTGTCAAAAAGAATTCTGCATCGAAATCATTCGTCTTCGCACTTTTGTATATGTATATTTGATGTGAAGAATGCATCTCATCTATCGCACCATATCCAAATTGGTAACTTATTAACTGACTGAATTATTTCGTCTGGCAACCGTAATGATCCGAACTGTCAGTTGCTTCATATTACTCGAACTCTGTCTGCAATAAAGACTATGAACATTCCATGCTAAACCCGGAGTTGTCCGATACTGAAGAAGTCTCAAGACCTTTCATGTTTCTTTTCGAATGATCCCCAGCCAAGCATGATGATTCACTCACTCAGTAATCATTTTGCGTGTTCGTAGACTTTTTCTATGAGTAAGTTTAGTATGAAAAGAAGATTGAAGAAAACGATTACTGATTCATTATCAGACGCAGTTGATAATAGAGATTAAGGCCAAAGTAAAAAGTAATCATTAATCTGCACAACACTATCATTACGTCGTAATCACGTCTTGTCCGTGTTAATGACACTCAGTTTGCAATAACCAATTTGTTACGTTCCTTACCAGTACATAATAATAGCGTTGAAATAATTAGTGGGTTTTAAAACCTCTAGCCTTAACCTAACCTCTAATCTCTAACCTAACCTTAAAATAAGGTCGGTTGATGAGCAAAATGAAAAATGTTCGCCTTCTGAATTCATTCAAACATTGCGCACTAATTTCTACTTTCTCTCCTGTTTCACTGTATCGTTTTTCAACGTTTCTTGAGCGATCAGTTCACATTGAATTCATCCAAACACTTCAGATGACGTGTCTACGCCATTCACGATATCTCATCGCCTATCATGAATTAATCTGTAAAATTTTGATTATTAAAAAAGTTGGAAATGTATAGCGAATCATTTAAAAGTTTGTCTGTTGAGTACGGAGCAAATTGCTTAAGAAAATGTTCGATGAAAGAATTCGACTGAGAGGAACCAAAGACATCATCGAAATAAGTCACCTGTCAACTAGCTCAGAACACTGAAAACAATAACAACCACTAGCTAGTCCCGCTATCAGATTTCAATTTCAACTCTACATCGACTTCGCTTCTATCGATCATCACTTTATCAGCGCTTTCGGTGGCTCATTTTAAGCGCAACGTCAAAATCTGTAGAGGAATGCTCGGAATTCACGTATCATGAAGATTACTTCGAAATTTTTTTTGATATGAACGTTGAACTGTTTGCATACATTGTGGTCGAAAATGTTTATTTGTGCAACGGGAAGATATGAATTTTCGAACATTCTATTAGTGGTGGCTGTGTACAATTCTGGTTTTGGCATTGTTAATTGCGTTGAATTTGTTTGCTTAACGAATACAAACACCGTTGATATGACAACAAATTTTTAATGACACAATGCATGATGCAATTCTGAGTTAAAGTAACCAAATTGTTGTTGTTGACTCATTAAATGCTTTCGTTTTGTGCGTATTGTAGTACGTCGTCGATAGCGAATTTCCTACAACCAGTCAATTGTTATGACTGACCTCTTTTTACGATCGATATGTTCGTTCGTTACGCCGATTACACCAGACATATCCAACGCTCATTTTGATTTCATCAATTTGTTCTATCGCTTCTGTACGCTTTTGTACACTGTTCACAAATCACAGATAGCAGCGCATCCATAAATTCAATGCTTCTCCATTCACCTTTCCTCTGCCGTCGTTTCCGTTGCCCACCGAAATCGCAAATCAAATCGTTTTTGATTTTGAAATTTTTGTTCGTTTGGTCTCTTTTTGAATTCCGATTGAATTCCGATTTGAATTCCGACTC